TATTATATAAATATCTATTCAATCATAACCTGATCTCGGTTTATAAATCCATTCCTGGTTAGTTTTGCGCGTATATGTTATTTCTTAACATTAATTTAACAAATATGATTGGCTTTTTTGAGTTTGATAACTATTGATCGAAAATGGAATACGTATATCTTTGGGTCATAGTTTATTAACCAAAATAAAGTAGGAATCCCAATTCCAAACTCAATTTATGCATCAATGTCATGATTTAAAAAAGCAGTTTGAGCTGTGACCCTACTCACAACTTCAACACCTCTTGCTCGCGCTTTGACTCGAAGGTTTCGATCATTTGTAAACAATACCACAGCCTCATTATTATTGCTTCCTTTTCCTGATTTGTTATGAAAACCGTTATCCCCGTGATTCTTGGTATGCCACAGGCAGATGCCAAGAATAAGATCATCTAAATTTTTCTTTTTGTTTTTACCATCACCAAAATCAAATTCTTCACTAAAGTTAATTCCAGATACATAATTGCCTTTAATTGTCTGAACTCCGAGTTTTTTAGACAATGATAAAGCTTGTTCAAGATAAGTAATTGCCTCGGATGCTGCAGTGCCAAGAGGGGGGTAGGTTAAGTTTGAACCCATCCAATTCCGTGATAACTATGAGAATAAGAAAAAAATTAAATAAATAAAATAAAATAAAATAAAACTCAGTTTTTATATTAACTAGTGTACGGATCCTCTATTTGGATCCACCAGCGAATTAGATCGGTCCGAATCTTCTACAGAACACTAATATTTAATAATTACTTACCAACCAAAGGTACAACCACTATCCAATTATCACTTGGATGATTTTTTTGACCATGTTGAGATCCCCGATAAGGCAATTGGTACCTATCACAATTGTAGTATATCCTGTAACAATTCTAGAAGGCGAAGGTGGTGTCACCTTTTTCGTTGATGAGAGGTATTTTTCTTGGAATTCTTTGACGAAAATTTTTGTGTTGAGGAACCTCGAGGACCTCACGAGTTGCAGCTAAAAGATTCTCTAATTCTTGTTTGCAAGACTAAATCAGCTAAGTTGGATAGAAACTTTTAAGTAACCAATTTCTGTATTATCGTCAGTGTTAGCATTAAGAATCTTAAAGCTCATAAACAAATTTTACCATATATGATGCTGAAAAAAAATAGTTTATTGAAAAATAACTTAATAATAAGACAAACTTCGCTAAATTGTGCATGTACAGTATGATTTTAGTTAACTACGTATCATGTATCGCATAATTAATAAGTTTTATGACTGGCACTGTTGGCACCATGCTGGTGTCAATGCTAGTGCCAGTGCCTATATAAGTGCCTACTTAAATTGTGCATGTGCTTCATATTTTAAAATCAAGTTGGGCCCATGTCTTGAAAAAATTTTTTTGTACTGGCATGTGCCGGGACCCTAAAACACAGGGTGTAATAGTCAAGTTATCGCATATATATAAGGTGTGAAAATTGGCGTGTGAAAAATAGGCAACACATAAAAATATGTGACGAACAGAGTCGCGCAGACCAATCAAATACTGAGAATTGTACCGAAAGATTAACTTGCCTGTAAACCATACACTACGTACTCCGTTCCTGGTATATACATTTATTTATTAAATATCATTTAGCTAATTTGTTTAAATCTGTATATAACAATAATTTCGGCACAATTCATACAATCAAACCTATTTTTGTATCATGATAATTATTTTACAGATTGTTACAATGATAAATAACAAAATATAGTATTGGTCAAACGGTCGGTTTGGTCGGTAAGAATTCGTGACCGAACTGGTATCGGTCACGGTCATGACCGGTCATGACAGAACCATTGACATCCCTATACATGATTCGAAGTAACGCATGCTATTTCGTGAGAGTACGATCATAATACGCACGTTATTGAGCTACCCTAGTAGGACCGTAAAATGATAATCAGATCTCTTTTTAGATAAGGTTAAATGCAACTCAAAATTTTTGCCTATAAAAAAAAATTCCCTGCAAAGTTTTTGGTATAGGCTAGGTTTTGCCGAAGAGATCTAATTGGTGCATCTTTATGGTACTACTACGCCTAAGGTTGGCAATGAAGTCCCAATGGAGCTGCGAATGGAGCCAATAGATACTAGTTTTTTTTAGTTTCATACACGTAACCATTTAGCTCCATTGGCTCCATTGCAAACCCTGACTTCAACTTTTATTCTTTTGTGCCACAACATTATCGTTATCACGCAATCGTTAAACTGTAATTTTCAGTGGCTATGTTCAAATAAGGAGCGAATGATTTTCTATATGCAACCTTATAAGGCATAGTGTTGAATCTTTACACAAAGACATCCGGATTAGTAGAGTAATTTCTATTTTTGTTGTGGCCATAAAGGCGGTAACTGGAACGAGGTAATAACAATAATACGATTATTCCGCCTAAAAGTTTTCCCTCGTACTACCGGCATTTTCGTTTATAAACCAAAATGACCATATAAGGATACTAACCATATAGGGAAGATAATGCGATCTTGATTTCGATAAATAGTATATGATAATCACTAATTTCAAGTAAAAGGTATGAATATATATAAAAATTAAAAAAAAATGGCAAGACCATAAATTTCAAGCCAAAAAAAATAAATAAACACCAAATCAAAATAACCAAATTTATACATGTAGAGAGAACCAACCGGATTTCCAATCCGCAACAAGTTTATATATTTTTAAAATATACAAACATCTTATAACCAATTTTTTTCATTATTATTCAAATGCTACACAAAATTTTCTTGATCTGATATTTTCGATTTTCAAATGTCAATTCAAGATTTAAAAGAACAAATTTTAGGCCCCACAATTTGGAATTTTCTTCTATTGTAATATCAAATTTGGCATTCAAAAAAACAAATTATATAATCAATATTAGTAAATTGGAAATGTTTGTTTTTAAATCATTAGCTATATTAAATAATCTTAATAAAGTTTTGGAATATTGGTGAACTATGAGCGCAACTTCCTATTATTCACAATGAATCTTGAAAGAGATCGAATTACATTGATGCTACATGATAAATGAAAAAATGTATATATATTTATTGATTTTGTTCCTGTCGTTTAATAACTACACATTTTCTTTTTATTATTTTTCCCAAGTTAAATCAATAATAACATAATATAATAATAATAATGGTGATGATAATGTGGTTATCAATTTTTATTATCGCATTCTCTACGATTGCCTCATGTTTAGATAATGGACTTGGCAAAACACCCCCTATGGGGTGGAATAGTTTTAATTATGTAAATGTTATTTGATTTATTACTGTCTATCAAAGAACCTAACTAAATAACAACTAAATAATACCAAAAAAAATTTTTTTTTAAAAAAAGTTTGATTGTGTAATCAATGAAACCTTAATTAAAGAAGTCGCTGATGGCATGGTTAAACATGGTTTCCTTAAAGCTGGATATAAATATTTAAACCTTGGTAAGTTTATCAACTAGATAATAAAAATAAATGCTTATGTATGCTATATGTTATTTATCTTGATAAAATTTCTTTTATAAATCTATATATTTTAGATGATGGTTGGTCAAATGACTGTAGAAATGAAAGTGGGTATCTTCTGCCTGATCCAGATGCGTGAGTATTAATTATATCAATATGTTTTTATTAATAATAAAATTATGCTTAACCCTTTTAATTTATTTATTTATTTAATCAAGATTTCCTAGTGGAATGAAAGGTAATCAAACTTTCAAGTTTATATCTTGAATTTATTGCAAAAGTTTGTTCTTTAAGACTGATGTGATTATATTTTTTAAGCACTTGTGGACTATATACATAGCAAGGGATTATTGTTTGGAATCTATGCCGATTCCGGATTAACCACTTGCGCCAAGCGTCCAGGATCTCTTAGTAAGATTTTTTTTTTGCATTTACAAAAATTAGAACATTTCAATTTATATAATCAATATTTATAAATATAGATTACGAGAAAAAAGATGCACAGGTATTCGCAGAATGGGAAGTAGATTATTTAAAATATGATAATTGCGATAACATGGGGCTTCCTGCGGTGGATCGTTATAAGGCAAGTCATAAAGATGTCTTAGTTGTTTAACTTTGTCATTTATATTTCTGTATATTTATGATCTTTTATCGTTACGTATCCAGAAAATGCGAGATGCACTCAATGGTAAGAGCATATGTTTTCTGATAACATGAATACAGTATGAATCTAACTTTTTTTTTTTTTTTGTAGCTACTAGAAGACCAATTTATTTTAGCATATGTGAATGGGGGTAAGGGAAATAATAAAATGTTGCAACAAAGTTGTAATTCTTTAAATATTAAACATTCATACTGACTTTTTTCTTAGGGAAAATAAACCTTTTCTTTGGGCACCACCGATTGGGAATAGGTATTTTATTCACCTCTATAATGCTTTTACAACCGGTTGATACCTCATAATTAATGATATTTTATTTATAATATATAGCTGGAGAACGACTCAAGACATTAAAGCAAATTGGACATCAGTTTTGACAATTTTAGACAAACAACGGAATATTACAAATTATGCAGGACCAGGAGGTTGGAATGATCCTGATATGCTTGAAATAGGTAATGGCAACCTCACTCTTGATGAACAAAGAAGCCATTTCTCTTTCTGGGCTGCTTTGAAGGCTCCTTTAATACTTGGATTTGATGTAAGATTATTTAATTGATGAAATGTTTTTTCACGAATTGTTCACGAATCGAAATGTGAATCTAAATTGTACTTGTACAATAACAGATTAGAAATCCACCACCTGATGCAAGAGACATGGCATTAAATACAGAAATAATAGCTGTGAATGTAAGTTTTGGTCTTTTTTTAATTTAAATATTACTTTATATTAATATACAACACTTAATGTTATTAATAGCAAGATCCTTTGGGTGTATCTGTAAATATTGTTGAACATAATAAATATTATGAGATTTGGACTGGACCACTTAGTGATGGTTATGTTGCACGTATGTATTATGTATAAAAATTTAATTTGTTTATTTAATCGGTTGTCTAATAATTAATTATAATTTATATTATTATAATAATAGTCTTGTTCAATCGTGGAAAAACTCTATCAAATATTACATTGAACTTTGAATCACATTGCGGTCTTAAAGGTCAAATTGCAGTCAGAGACCTTTGGGATAAGAAGAACCCGGATAAAGGAATATTTACAGAAAGGTTTTTGTTTATTTTTTATATAATTTCTAATTATATTTATTTTAAAATATATTATTCATTTTTTATTTATGATTATTTTTAAAAAACCATTAGCTATAGATCAGCAGTTCCACCTCACACTACAACAGTTTTAAAACTTCGATATGGTATAAAAGTTTCTCGTAAACGTAGACTTCATAAAATACTGATATACCCTTAGTAAACAAACATGTAAAAAGTCAGATTAACGGTAAACAAATATGTAAAAATTAGAAGATTTTTTTATGCCGTATAGAAAAATAGCATTGGCTATTTCTATTGTTTCTAATAGAAACAACTGTAGATGCAGACTTATTTACGTCACTAGTTACGGCTCTTTATTTTATAAACCGATTTTTTATATAGGGCGTAACTAGGTGATGTCATAAGTCTGTATTTATAGTTACAACCAATATTAAAGACTAAATTGATTAACCTTTTATATTGAAGTACGTATGTAATTTTGATACACTTATTGTACGTACTTTCGGTATCTGAAAAATATGGTGCGCTCATAATGATCAAGTAAATATCTGTTTTATATAAACAGGAACTTGCAAGATTAGATTATTTAAATGAAATCTTTCATCTATATAGTAGTGATAGATTCATATTAAGCCATTTGTACCAAAAATAATACTCCCGTGATTAAGACTTGAGCATTACTCACCATCTTTACCAGCTTGTTCTTCAATAAGACCTGGGATACAACTATTTTTAATATGGATCATCATCCAAATGTAGTACCCGGTTTTTCACGGTACCCACAGGTACTATTCAATTTTAAAAATGAAATTTTTGAATAAGACCATGAGTACTGTAAGCAATGGCCAACGGTAATTGGCATTTCTTAAAAAATCTATTAAATCATTAAGCCTTCTTTTTTGTAAATTACAACATTGGCGTCATTTCGAATTTTGATCATTTAGAAATAGCTTTCCAAAATAACGAATATAATTATAATGTAAAATGTATATATGTATATAGTAATAATCAAGTTCATAAAATTAATCTTTTATCTAGAAATAAATAAGTTGGGTATACTTGAAATAACGCACTGATGCCGTTACTTCAAATTCATATGGAATCTAATGCAAACATGACACTCTTTGGTAAAGGAGTGTGAAATTAACAATTTTAGTAAAATTTAAATGTTTATTGTTAGAGTTAGTTAACGTACGCGATCAATTTAAATCCGAGAATCGCACTACTGTTGCAAGCAAAGATCTATTATGATTTCGATTTTCTTTTATTATTATTTTGAAAACATGTTTAGTTCCATTTTATATTTATAGGTATAGCGATAGTAGCCAAAACAGAAAAAAACATTAATAACCAACACTTATCCGTCAGATTACTATGATCGGGCTGTCAAATAACTCTAGTTATTGGATGCTTCACATCCAATAACTATATAGTATTGATAGTAAATTGAACAAGTTTTCCCAATGTTATATACCTTAGGAATCACTACCGTTACTACCGTTATTTCCTTAACCAGTTGTAACGCAACTTGTGTACAAAGATATTATAAACCAATCCATGTTTCATTTTACTGACTTTTTGCATATTAAAACCTTTTTTCTCAATAAATTGAAGTTCAATAGACAAGATAATGTATCAGATAACGAAGTAAACTATCTAACATATACACTTGGCTATTATTTTTTTAAGACTCTAATGAGTACGTAGATACGGTCGAGCCTTCTAGGACGATAAAGAAATATTGATCGAATGATGACAGTTAGTTGATCCTAACTAAAGAATGTTTAAATTTACAAACATTAAAGAACAATGATAATGGTAACGGTAACAATATGTACTAATAATAAATATAACTTTTTGCATGGATTATCAAACACTTCATTGATCAAGTTAATTAAATTTACAATTAAACTCCTAGAAAAGAAATGGAGATAAAATTCGGATCAGCCCGGATTTTGACCTAGAGGAACCGTCAATGTTACAAATTAATCCTTTACACGATGTAGTCAATCAATAATAAAATTATTTATTTTGTGTTTACTCTAAAATATATGTTATGGATATCGTCGTTCACACGTGGTGATCAGTTAAAACTGAAATTAATTATATATTATAACTCCAAGTGTAATGGATATAATCCCTCACTTGGTGTAACATTAACGGTTCTTCCTGTTACCTAGACCTGCCTTTCTTCCTTTATAATTAATTTTATAAAGAAATTCATGGATAATATTTAAATTTGAAATCCAGAATTCGAATCCCGCACGATTACTTGTAAAAGTATCGGAAATAACATAAACTCGACACATGCCCATACGAAAAAATGGTTAAGGTATAAGCCTAATTCAGTTCTAAAAAAAAACACAAAACCAAACCATAACATATTCAGCATATATATATTTTCGTGACAACTTTAGTTACCCGTTTTGTAACTAATTTTGCCATGATGAAAAGCCGACAAAACACTTGTTTATTTTTTAACTATATTAATCGTGTCAAAAAAATCAATTACGTTAAATTAACTGTCATTTTAAATAAAATCCGCTGTTACTTGCCAAATTTTCATCAATATTACCCACATTTGCAAATTCCTATACTGTAAATGAGTGACGAAAAGGGAAAACCTGTAAATCATTTCACTTATTGAGTGAGATGATTTACGGGTTTTCCCTTTTCGTCACTCAAATAATATCCTTAACATTTTTATATCGATTACAATTTCTTCGGTGCCAAGATAGCAGCGACCTGCATGTTTTCGTTTTTTACTGTCTTTAACACATTTTAAAGATTGGAAACAGTGTTTTTTTTTCCCTAGAAAATCTCTTATAAAGAATCTATAATACTGTATATAACATCGGTATTAAAAAATTTTATTGTTCAAAAGAAAAAAAAGTAATACCGATAATGATAAAGTAAATTTATTTTAAATATCGAACACGGCAGATCTTTGGGAGATACTGTACTAAATATTTTCCGCAACTACTGTAGATTAAGAATTCAGCAAAATAGTCTTTCTTTTTAAACGTTTGATGTAGATAACTACGGTATGCAATAAATAACTAGTGCGCCTGTTTCTTGAAAGCTTACTCCCTGTGCTGTATAATGAAAATTCCCAAATTAAGAATAGAGTTTACTCATAATGGGAATTCCCAAAATAAGAATAGATCTTATTTTCCCTTTTATAGCTAAGGATAAATAAGGAAATTCCTTTCTTTGTAAAAGTTTCCTTTCCATTCGTTTATTTTTCTTTAAAAATGTTTTTTCCTTTCTGTTTGTCCTCATTCTTTACCAGTCAATACGACCTTCAAGTATTTCACTATTGAACACCCAATTTAAATGTTAAAATCTAGTAAAAATGTTCTGATTGACAATTTCATTCGTAGACGAAGACATGCAAATACTTATAACTTTCTCGAATGGGTTGAACCTGAACAATTCAGAAATATAGAACTGCTTGCAAAAGGAGGGTATGGAACAATCTACACCGCGACATGGATAGATGGACCAATATATCGGCAAGGTCCATATAAAAATTCTCGGCACAAACTACGCAAAAATCCAAATGAAACTGTTGCTTTGAAAACTTTATACGATTCATCAAATGGTATTGAAAAACTTCTCAAAGAGGTAATATCATATTATAACAATTTAAATAAATTTTAAACTTTAAACTTTGCGCTTACTTTTCTGTTTATTTAAGACCGATCAAACTCTGCAATTTAGTAGAGTAAAAATTTATGGCCTCACAAAAAATCCTTGCAATGACGAATATGCCATTGTTATGCTATACTATAAGCATGGTGACTTGCGGAATTTTCTTAAAAAGTACGAGACTCATGGTATGATTGATATTCTAAGATCAATTATAAACGATCTTGAAAGTATCCACAATGCCGGAGTGATCCATTGTGATTTACATAGTGGAAATATTCTTTTACCTAACGCAAACACTGCCATAATTGCGGATTATGGTTTGGCACAACCTGCTTCACATATAACCTCCACTGATAGCGATAGTGCATATGGTGTTATTCCATATATGGCTCCAGAACTCCTTCGTGGTAAACCTAAAAGTAAAAAATCTGACATTTATGCATTAGGCATAATTATGTGGGAGCTTTCTTCGGGCGAACCGGCTTTTTTTGATCAAAAACATGATATATGTCTACAGCTTGCAATTTGTGGTGGTTTTCGTCCCAAAACTATAAAAGGAACATCAGAACAATATGCTGAACTTATGCAAAGGTGTTGGGATGTTAATCCAGAAAAAAGACCAACGATAGATGAATTAAAACAAACGTCTCTTCATTTTGGTTATAAAGATCTACCTACTAAACGATGCCGAACTATAAAGAACCCTTCAATATATTACAGTCGTCTTATTTCAAATAATCTAATTATAAATGAATATTTAGCTGGAATTTCAAATAATAACATAAAGATAAACGAATATTTAGCTGGAATTTCAAATAATAACATAACGATAAACGAATATATAGCTGGAATTTCAAATACTAACATAACGATAAACGAATATATAGCTGGAATTTCAAATAATAACATAACGATAAATGATCTTGATAACAAGATAATGACTGCGAATTGTACCACTAATCTTATGAACGACCCTTTAAAATGGTTGGAGATAGTTTAGTTAACCTTTCAGCATCACAATATTCCGAACCAGTGATCTCTTTACCATTTACAGCCACCATAACGTTAAAGAATCCATCAAGAATATTGCAAAGTTAAATGCTAATCATTCTAGTATGCAAATTTTGTCAAAATATTGACAAGATATATCATCTTGGATGTTGAACCATCAGAATTTCTTGAGGATATTAAGGCAAAGATACACGCTAAAAATGGTCTTCCTGTGTGGTGTATGGGTTTTATTTTTGAAGGTAAACAATTGGAGGATGACCAACTCTTTCTGATTATAATATTAAAAAGAATCGACAATTCATTTAGTACTCAAACTTTGCTGTGGTGCTTAATTTCTTTTCCATAGAGCTTCATTTAAATAACAACTTTAAAAAATATACAACAAAATATAAAAAAATTATTCTGTACATAAATAAAATAAAATGTCAACCATAAACATAGATATACTAAAATAAAATTGATATTGGCAAAAGTTCTTTTACTCCAAAAACCCATAAGCATTATTATTATTATATTCCACAGTAATTTTAATGTTTAATAAAAGTATTTGGTTTTTACAAGCATATTCAAACGAAGAGTACAGTAATTTTAATACCTTTGAGCTGCTAAACGTATGATTTAACTATTGTATTGTGGTTTGTAAAAATCCTTGTATGCATATAGTGAATTGCGATTTCATTTCAAAATTCTTTTTATATATATATATTTAAGTTCAACTTTTGGGTTCGAAAACTTTGTTTAAAGTTTCTGTATCTACCACTTAATGAACAATTAATATATCATTTAATGGTAATTATTATGCCCGATTTTAAATAACTTAGTATTAATAATCGACCATTATTCTTACTTTCTAAAGGATTAAAAGATTTTATTCCTAATTTTAGCGATAGAATGAATATGTAGCTACTTTTAATCTAATAATCAAAATTTATCCTTACTTCCTGCCACACCAATTACAAATATATGTCTTAAATCTCCTTATAGCTAATTATTTTCAGCTGGCTTCCGATAATATAAGGCAGCTGCGCAGCACGTGGTGCCGCGCAAGACCACATTAATCACATGTTTAATGAAGTTTATACTGCGTCGTGATTGGCTTGGTTAATTTTCGAGGAGAGCAGTTAAGCGAGTGGGGATGACGTTGACCTAATAATCAACTAAAAACGGCCTTACGAAAACTCTGGTAATTCGATGACGTAGAACCACCCAAGAGACAAAATTCACATTTACAAAAACACCGACCAGCAAAGCCTCCAATAACACAATAGTCGAAACCACTAAAGCGACGAAATCCACATCCACAACAGCACCTAAATGGCGATGCCGAAAACGATGACACCTAAAACGATGAATATTCCAATAAAAGCGACAATACAAATGATTCCAACATCGGCGACTTTGAAGTGTTCACAATTATCTAAAAAAAAAAAAAAAATTAGAGAATGATAAATTAAAGAAATGTTTATATATCTGTTACACGAGAATGTGTACAAATTTTTTTAACGTTAATATACCCTACAATCCAAATTCTCGTGTAACGTACGATAGGTAACCTTTTCGAAAGAGGTTGTTAGATTTGGCTGGTGGGTGATTAAGGCTTTCGGTTACTTTGGATCAACGAAAACAAGTTGAATAGGTCATGTGGTCAAGAACTTGAACGAAAGTAAAAGTTTACAGGGTTTATAATGGGTATACCAAGAACGGAGTTTGTACAACGTGGCGTAGTGTATGGTTTATCTGCAAGTTAAGTGAGTGTTTACAAAATCTTGGATCTGATTGGGTGATTGATCCTGATGATTTTTTTTTTTTTTAAAAAAAAAAGAGAGGTCTATCTTCTATCTCTTTATTAATTAGTTAATTTACATATATAAGATACATGCAGGAGAAACTAAGCTAGGGGAGATGGGGGTAAGAGTTACTTTACTCTTGACTTATTGTTTGCTAGAATGGTCAATAGATCTCTAGTTTATGATAAGATGACTAAGAGAAGATTGTCTACAAGTGATATAATAATAAATTTTTTTATTTAATATAAGAGGTAAAATTGGTTTAGTTTTAGTCAGTATTGGAGATTGTAGAGGTAATGGGGTTGGTTGCAAGAAATCATATTGTATTATTCAAAAAGGAAGTCAGAGTTCTTTATATATTGTAAAGATAATGTTATAATGTATAAGAGGAGTATATTTGTATTTGTATTTATTATTCTTGAAAGGTGTCAAGGTGTTGCTAGTTATTAAACTTAATGGTATTTGTTTGTCAATGTGGTTTAAAATAAAAGCTCAAGTAAAATTATTTATCTTATAGCAAGGTATTTCTAAATTTTTGCTGCTTTATATATTACATGTGTTATTAATATTGTAAAATGTAAATGATTTCAAGGCAGTCTAAAAGATGTATAATAGTTTCCAGAGCATTATAGCATCTTGAACAGAGATAGTTTAGATATTTAGTAGTATTTCTCTAGTAAAGCAATAGATGTATGGGTAGTTCTTCTAATAATAGTTTGATTTTAAAGTTTTTTAGTATTAAAGAAAAGAAATCAGTTACCAAAGTTAAAGGTTTTTCTTCATATGAAATATATTGTAGAGATAATGACTAGTTGATATTATTTTGTAAAGTATATCAATAGGAGATTTACTATTGGTAGAACCAGGTTAGTCTGTTTATAATTTAGTATATTTGTTTTATTGTAATTTTTAGTAAATATGTGCAAAAGTTGCCAAAAAGTTTTGAAACAAATTAATTATATAAAAATTTTTGTGATATAGAATCTAATTAAAAAATGTTTTTAGTTTCTTGGATTTGAAGTTTTTTGTTCAGAGTTACTGAGATTGTATGATTATATGTTATTGCTTTTAATACTAAGATAAGGTAGATATGTTATTATTTGTCAAGTGCAGAATAGTTGTATGATTGAATAAATTGTATAAGGTTAATTAAATTAACTAATGAGAGATTGTTGGTATATATTTTTATGTTGGCATAGGAGTTTATTGAAATTAGTACAAATGTTAGCAAAATTAATAAAGTATTTAAATAAGAGAGCCAAAGGTTAGTAAAGCAACCAAAGTTGATATGAAAATATTAAAATTGATATTTTGTCACTATATAGAAGTTATTTTCTATATTTTGTCAGCCACTTGTTATATATAATATTATATTTTTTTTATTAAAATTAGTTTTTGTTAGAGTGTTCCAAAGTGGTATCGGAGGATTAACAAAGAAGCAAAGAGATCTAGCTAAGGTCAAGTATGTTTTTTGATTAAAAAGTTGGTATATTGCTACTAGTATTAAGGTTATTGTCTTTTTAAAATTATTTAGATCAATATAGATTTTCTTTTTACAGTTTATTTAAAAATTGTAAATTGGTTTTGTTACCTTAAAGTAATAGTATTTAGATGAGTAAGTCCTGTTTTTAAGTTCACATTCTTGATATATTATTAGTGTGTTATTAGAATGTAGAATATAGTATCAAGTTTTTAGGTTTTTGTTAAAAGAATTGTGTATTTTTCCAAAAGTTATGTCTTTTGTAATTATTCAACCCTTTTTGCTAGATGTCTAGTTGGTTAGAGTATAAGGATTTAATTACAAGAATATTAATGATAGATTTGTAGATGCAGTTATTAGGTCTTGTAATAAGCAAAACTAATGAGGATATTAATCTTGAGATATTTTTTTGATATTGTAGTAAAAATTATTCTATATTAAAAGTTCTGTATTAGTTGTATTCAAGAATTGTTCAATACTAGTAATATTGTGATTGTTTAGTTTTTCTTTAAAATATGAAGCTCTGGGATAGTTTAAAAGAATTTGGTTTATAGGTATGTCTAGAAATTTCTTTGAATGTGGTCAGTTATTAACATCTCATGAGGTTTGCATTTCCAATATGTGTAGAGTTATGATTATCTGACATATTTGTGTATTTATTTGTATTAGTAAAATACTGAAAGTTGTATCAGAATTGAAATGTTTATAAGTGTTGCATCTTGTAGTTATTGTAATCACAATTTCAAAAATAAGGAATTAAAATTGGAGTAATTTAGGTTTTTTTGTAATGTTGAAACTAGTACTGAAGTTTGTGTCTAGGCTAAATCTGTCAATGTATAAATATCTAGGTTGAATAGAAAAGAGTTCAGAATTTTTTATACTAATTTTGCCTTATGTTTTATTAGTTGAATGCATAATTTGTTAAGAGAATTTGTTTGTAAGAGAAAAAAAAATAAGAAGTATAGCCAATAAGTAAAACATAAAGTAATGATATTGTTTATAATATAGATTGCTTGTTTTTCTATTATATTAGCAAATTGCAATTTTTTTAGATTGATTTTAATTTCTGCTATTATTTCTTTTTGTACTAGTATTGGCTTTTTGTTGGTCAAGAACTATGTTTTCAAATATTTGAAAGGTGTTTTATAATCTATAACAAATAATTATTTATCATCAAAAATTATAAAATTATCCAGATTTAAAGAGTTTGTGACTAAAATAGATTTGGATGAATTAACTTTTATATTAGCAAATTTGTAAAAAGAGAAGGCAGTATGCAGAATATTTATAAAAGATATTTTGTATGATGCAATCTATAGTGAGTCATCTATGTATGCCATTACAGAGGTATATATTTTTTCATACTTGGAGAAGGAATTCTACTAATAAATCCCTGATACTCTTTATGTATTCTTGATATTAATAAGTCATAATATATTTTTTATAAAAGAGGAGAAATTGTTTCTTCTTGGTTTACTTTATTTTTTACTAAATATAGTACAGTTAAGCCTAAGGTAGTAATTATTTTGTTGGTTTGATGTGAAAGCAAGTATGATTACAGATTTATAGCTTTGTCTGGAATGTGGATTCTTTTAAGAGCCTTGGGTAGAATAGGTATATGAATTGAATCAAAAGCTTTTGACATGTCTTGAAAAAGAATTCAAATTTTTTTATTAATTGTAATTGCATCTTTAAGAATTTGGATAAGTTGTAAGATTGGTTGTAATATGAATTTATGTAGAAAGATTACAAAATTGTAAGGTGATAGCACTTGATTATGAGTTAAAATATTTGTAAGTTAAGTTGTTATAATTTTTGTAAAGATTTTTCTAATATGATCAATTAATATAATAAGACAAATAGAATTAAGTTCATAGTTGTAATGTTGTTTTTTGAAATTAGCTAGATATTGGCTTGTAACTATTAATCAAAAATAATTTCTTATATTATACAACTGTTAAATATATTTAGAAGAAAAGAGAGTACTGATAATGATAAATGTTGAAGAACTTTATTTGTAATTTTTGAAAGTCTAATTGCTTTCCTTTTAAGTGCTACTTTTATTATTTGTTCCAGTTC